TTTCCATTTCAAAACGAGATATGAATGAAAAATTAGTTAATTTTTGGAGAAGTTTTCTGGTAAAAAAAAAGTTACAATAATTATCACTGAAATGATGATCATCATTTTGTTGTTGTTGTTGTTGTCGTTGTTAAATAACAACAACAATTAATTAATTACTAGTTTTATTTTTTTGTAAACTTTATAAAAGTTTTAACTATAATTAAACTTGAACCGGAATTGTAATTTTGTTTTTTTAATTTTTTTCGTTTGTAAAAAAACCAAACTAAATAATAGCCATTATTACAAGCTGGTGGACATGGAACAATAATTGCACAATGTCGTAATGCAAATATTATTACCTGGCGTACAATACCGATGCAAGTTGATGGTGAACCATGTCGTTTATTACCATCAATTATTAATTTAGAATTACGTAATAAAGCAAATATTGTTGCCAATACAAAAACATTTGAACATAAACGACAAATGTAAGTATTATTATTCGCAGTAGTAAAGTGTTAAAAAAATGGAAATGAATGTAACATACACCAAAAAAAAAAATTCTATATAGAATTTATCACATTAACCCTGTTTGTTTGTGACCTAAATATAATTCATCAGGTTCATTCACCTTTATTATTATTTTCAACAGACATAGAAGAAAAAAAATGTTTTCTTTTGATTAGTTTTTTTATTCTCTATCACCACCTTTTTGTTGTTGTTGTTAATTGTCATTTGTTCTTTTTTTTAACCCGTCAGATTCATCAGTTTCCTGGTTCTTTTCTTTTCTTGTTTCCATGTTTTCAAACCAATCTACCTTAGTTTTTTTTTGTTTGTAATTTATTTATTCAGTTTTTTTTCGGTTACGTTTGATGAATACATAATCAAGAATCTTTACAATTCATTATATGAATATTAAATGAATATTTAATCTAGGGCCGGAAATTTCCGGAAAAAGTAGTTGAAGAAAATTTCCGAAAACAACTAAAAACAAAAGACAAAATGACATAAATTCTTTGTAATCAGAAAACTAAACAAAACAAAAAAATGAAGGTGTTTGGTTTAATTTACACTGTGTGTGTGTGTTTAGGTGAATGAAATGGTTTACTGGATTTAGGAGAAAAACATTCACAAGATTAATACTCATATTTCATCATCATCATTTTGTTTGCATTATGGCTTTTCACTAGCCATATTTGGCTAGAGAGTCAGGAATCAAGAATCAAAACAGATCAATCACTATTACTGCACAGCAAAGAATATGATGTTTGTTTGTGTTTGCTTGAAAAGAACACCCCACAACCAACAAACAAACAAGAAACTCATTCATTAAAATGGGATTTTTCTTCACTTTAGTTCCTGTTTACCTTGAATTTTTTTCTCATTTACAAAAGTTTTGATGATGAAACAAAAGGCGAAATTTAATTTCCGTTTTAAAAACTTGATTCTTTTTTTTTCTTCACTTTTTTGGCCAAATCCAATTCTAATGAAATTTTTTTTAACACTTTTCTCTCCTTAAATGAAATTTTTTTTAGGCCTGCATTGGAAAAAATAACATTAAAAATACGTAAATTAAATCTAAATGATTATGAAACATATCATTATGATAAGGAAAAATTGAAAGAAATTTGTAAGTATTGTTTTTTCTCTGAAAACTTTCTGAAAAAAAAACATCATTTCCATTAACCAAATTTCCGTAACCTTTCTAAATAGCCACTGTACTTGGTACAATAACTATTGATCAAATAATGGAATTAAGTAATGTACGAATACGTATTAATGAAATGATGAAAGAAAAAGGATTAAGACGTCCATCATCAGATTTAACTGCTGTTGCTGCTGCTGCTGTTGGTAATGTAACCCCAATAACGGCTATGTCGACTGGACAATCATCACAATTGCCGACATGTTTTGAAAATGAATCGTCACCGAATGAAACAGCGTCAACGACAAACGCAACATCGACGACGACGGCGACGTTGACAAATAACCATTCATTATCATCATGTGTTAAATTTGTATCGAATGATTGGTGTTTTGTTGATTGTAAGTTGATTGATTTTTTTTTTCGGTTACTTTTTCCGTAACTTTCATGTAAATGTTTCTCAAAATTTTTTTTTGTAGCCGTAACAGCTGAACGTTTTTTTCGTATCGATCGTGCACAAGAAGAACTTTATTATGTTGTTGATATTTGTCACGAGGATTTATTCATACTGGATCCACAATTTGATGAAAAAGATGATCTTGATCTATTTACATCGGAAGAAGTAATTGCAAAAGTTGTTGCCGGTGTTACAAGTACATCATCACCGCTTAAATCATCATCAACAACAACAACGACAACAGCAGTATCACCAATGCGACCACCACCATCATCATTGATTATGGCTAATGGTGATGATCAACAACAAATATCTAGTCTTCCTATTGATCATTTTATCGAAAATTTTGATAATAATCATCACTATAGTCGTCAAAATAGTCAAACCTTGGATTTAATACCACCAACAACGTTACAAACACCACCAAAATCACCATTATCTGATGATAATCATAATAATAATAATGATTATTTGGATAATGAACCATATTATAAACAGATGCGTAAATTGGATAAATTTAATACAGATAATTTAGATACAAAAATATCACCTTGTAAACAGAATGGTAATACATTATCATCAACATCAATGTTATTATCATTATCACCAACAATCAATCAACAATCATCACCAGCGATCATTGATTCACCACCAAAATCACCAAGACGTCGAAATCGGCCATCAATTTTATCATCATCAACAACATCACCATCAAAATCACCACAAACAATAAATCGTCGTCCATTATTAAATCAATTAATGTTAGCAGCACGTAATGGTGATATAACATTATTAAAACATTTGCATCATAAAGGTGTTAACTTGATGTTAATCGATGAAAAAGGAATGTCTGCATTACATTATGCCGTACTAAATAATCAAGATGAAGCTGTTTCATTTTTATCAAATGCATTTACACAACAAATGATTGATCTATGTGAACCTGAATTTGGTCATACTGCATTACATAAAGCTATTATTAATAATAAAAATAATATTTGTTTATCATTAATATTACGTGGTGCAAGATTAGATATTCCGGATAATAATGGACAAAATTGTGAACAATTAGGTTATAATCTTGGTCATCATGATTTAATTAAAACACTTTTACGTAAGTTTTTCTTCTTGTTTCTTTCTTGTTTGTTTGTTTCTGTTTGTTTTCCCATTGTGAAATTCAATTTAGTTTTTGTCAAGTTTTTTTGTTTTTGTTTTTGTTTCAATTTGGTCAGTTTTCTTGCAAAATTCTCTTCCACACGCACATTATCAATATGTCAATCGATCGATCGATCGATTGATTCATTTCTTTCTTTCAGATAATGATGATAATTTTGTTAAGAAAGACTATAGAAAATTTTCATCAATTTTTTTTTTCTTTCGATAAATATCCATTATTATTGAATGTGAAAATCATTCGGGTAATGGTCACGTTTATTGTTTTATTTTTTTCCATTTAGTTTTTTTGCAATTCTGTTATTTTTCGTTTTGGAATTGAATTTTCTCTCGTTTTTCTCTCTGGTTTTCCATGTTTCTTTTCTTTCTTGTTTTTGGGTTCCGGTGTATGCCATGGCTGAAATGTCAGAATTGGCAAAAAATGAATTCTCGTACAGAATAAGAATTTGGTAGCAACCAGGAAAAAAACCTGGCCTATTGTAACATCATCATCATTATCGTTGTTATCATCATCATCGTCGAGAGAGAGAAATGAATTGACAGGTGTCAGAAACAATATTTTCATTTCTGCTATCTAGCAGTGAATCAGTGATGGAAGGAAAATCTTTCCAGCCAAAATTATGTCAAATCAAGTCGAAATAGTTGAACAGTAACTGATAATAATTTTCAAAATCATTATTCGGAAAAAAAGAGATAATATGCTGAACATCGAGAAAGAATCATGCTTTTTTAAATAAAAAAAATCATTTTGACAATAAAGGTCAATTGAAAGTCATTATCGAGAAACGAAAAACGAAAAAATTACCTTTTTTAGATTGAAATTTATGTTGTTTTTTACCCGAAAGAAAGGAGAAAAAAACCCTTATCAAGTTTTATCGGTTTTTTTTCTCGCTACGTTTCAGGTTAAAATGGCAATTTTTTTTAACTTTTTGAAAAACGAAAATTGCAGATTTTATGGGAAATTTTCTTTACCGTTTCAATAATGTCACCATTATCACCCAAAAAAGTATATATAGCGATAATGAATGAATGTAGAGAGAGAGAGAGAGAGAGAGAGAGAGAGAGAGAGAGAGAATATTCTTGACGAAACGAAACGAATGAAGAAATTCTACTAATTGCAAATGACAACGGAGAAGAATTTCATTCCGTTAGTGAAATATAATGTATTTTCATTTATCTTGTTTTCGTTTCGGGGAAAAAAAATTCGGAAATGAAGAACAAAAAAAATCTTCTTAATTTTCGTCTTTTTTTTCATTGATGATGATGATAATTACCGGCCATGTCTCGTTTTTGTTGTTGTTTTTTGTTGAAAAAATCCAATCAAAATGTCGTACAAATTTGAAATTTGAACAGTTTGTTTCGTGAGGTGCCTTCAGGGTTAACAAATTTTAGTTTGTTTTTTTTCTAAATTGAATTTCATTTTTTTAATAATAATTTTCAATTTTTCCATTTATTCCAACAATAAAAAAAAATTCACAGATGTATCACAAGCTTGTAACCGTGAGACTTCAGTTTGACTTCAGAAAACCTACGTCCAATTTTCAATATAATCAAGTCAAGACCTAAATGAATAATGTCAACCGATACAACAACAACAAAAAATAACCGGATTCTTTGTCCGAAAAAATATTTCCGGACAACAAAACAAACAAGCAATCAATATCAGAAAAGGAGATTCTTTCATTCATTTTGTTTTGTTTTGGCCGATCATTTCATATGTGAATGGAATTGGAAATTTTTGTTGTTTTGAAAATCTTCCTTTGGCTTGTTCCTAATTATAATTTATTGATATACGAAGCAATAACGATGATCCAACAGAAAAGTTCCCGGTAAGTTTCTGGAAATTTTCCTTAAATTTTTTATTCTGAAAATATTTTTTTCTTTTCTTTTTACAGAATCATCATCATCATCATCACCAACAAATTGTGCCTTTTTCATCTTCATATCATTCACGATCTCTCTCTC